TATAAATTGTTGCACAAGTTTGAAGCTTATGGAGTTTATTGATCCGTTACTGTAGGTCAAAAGTGAGGCAGCTCACAGTCTATAATATAATACAGAGGTTTCCAACCTTTTATGTCAGTTACCAAGTTATTGACCCAAGTTATTTACTTGAAGGTTAGGGCTTTACACCATAAGAGTTTACATCATTTTAATTTTAGTGAAACCCTTTTTGGGAAACCCAGATATTATAAATCTATCTGACACCAACTACACTAGATAGCATGCATGCTCTTCCTTGAATAAGACTAGTATGGTCACCAGAATATGTTGTACTTTGGATCCACAGGATCCTGATATAAGAACCAGGCTTCTTAATTGGCTTAACCAGCTAACCTTGGTCAATCAGTTTCATCAGAAAAATCAAACTATTTGACCAGAATTTTGCCAGTTAGACCAGTACCAAACTAGCAATGACCTGAACAGACATGCTAGGATCTCCATGAAAATCTATGCTTGTTTATGCTTGTCGTTTAGCCTGGTCCTAAATGCTTCATAAAGCATAAAACACATGTACTGAGAAACCATAGGCTGTGCAGGTTGAGGGACTGTCATGATAACATCAGAGTCACCTTGAGTTACCATAAACCATACCGGAGATGAACGTCAGACGCAGCATGAAAGCGCTGATCTTTGCACAAGCAAACAAACAGACTCAGCTGTTCAGCTGTAAGTCCAGCAGTGCTCAGATACTTCACCCACTAAACCCTCATAACCTAAACCGCTCCAATTCGCCTTCATAGTAATTTTAAGATAACCAACAAAATGTGTTTGCACCAGCACAGTAAGCGTCGAAGTTATCTGAATGTTTGTTTTTTTTATTCGCTTACAGGAGTTGATCATAAAGTGCCCTTTCTGATGGACTTCTAAGCCTCGGTGAGTTTTATATAAACTGTGGTTTTATATGCACGGACAGCTCCCACACATCATGAAGCCTGCCTGGCGTCCAGCAATCCATATGCAATAAAAAGGGATAAATATGAGGGTCGGGCCAGAAAAGGGTTGATGGACGATTATTGCATTTTTCTCACCAACCATGCAGCGGAAGAGATTAATGCATTAGCCAGCAGATCTGAGGGACAAGAACCGACTCAACAGTCTGCATCCAAGATGCTCCTGAGGACATAAATCATAATCATCATGTTTTTTTGTTCTCAAAGATTTACAACTGACTGGTTCTTAATGCTACATGCAGAGAGGAAGACAGAAGGGGTGATTTTGGCCACACTGCTGCAGGTATTGATTTCAAGACTGCCATTGTTAAGCTACAAACCACACAAACACTAGCAAATAACCAGGCCCAAAAACCCGCACACTTTCTTTGCTTACCGGAGGGGTGGGGGGTGCAGATGGTAAATGGATTTAATGTAAATGTGGTAAATTGTTTTAAATATGGATATAAACGGCTTAGGGTACTACACTCTTATTGGCAGCTGAAAGCATAATCAAATTTGCCAAAATATTAAATTAATGAACACACAAGGGAGCATGTGTAGAACTGAGAATAATGTGAGTTCAGATTTTTCAGAAATCTGGCAAATTGTCTACAGTCTGAGAGTTCAGAGTTCACATGCACATCTTACAATAATTATGATTAATAATCTGACAATGTGTAAGGTCATGGAAACACATTAAACAGTGTTGTTTTGATCAGTTGAAGGTCAGAACTGTTTAAGGATTGTACACCTGGATTTCTGCCCAGTTTTCCAAATTCACTTTGCTTATAAACTCCTTTAGAAGAATTCTGACATTTTTTCAATGCATGAATGTATGTTAACATTTTAATATGAAAACGTATTTTAAAATCTCATGTAAACGTGTTTTCTTTAATTATCAGGTTTTTAGAATAAGTCGATTTGGATAGTTATCAGCACACTGTTGTGCATGTAAACATAGCCAATGTAATATTTACTGTAAATGAGAACACTACAATCATCATCAAACACAACTACTAAAAACAATTTAAAAATTTTTTTTTTCAAAAATCTGACTTCATGATGTCATAACTATTATGTCAAAATTATGTAACAATGTTACAAACATTTTGAATGCACTTCTTTCCCCTCCAAGTAAAAAGTTTAGTTCAGTAATCAGAAGTATCTATACACATAAAAAATGTATTCAAACAAGGATCACAAAACTACAACACTATAAATGAAAAGCTATTAACCCTAATCCACAAACAGCAAGATCATGGGTTTAAACATTGCCCTGTTTCGTTTTAATCATTATATAAAAAAATGTTTGTTGAATGTTTGTTGAATTCATTGCTTTAAGATGATCACTAAATACAGAAACAATGAAACAATAATAATCCTAAATGTGGTTAGGGAGTAGATTAGGGAATATTTCATGCATTGTGAGGCAGAAAAAGTTATCAATGAGAAATAGTTTAGAAAAGAATCAAGGTGAAACTAATCCAATTCCGTAAGAGCAGCAGTCTTCTCTGGGATCAATATGAGAGAGTGAATATGGATCACCATTGACCGCTGCAGGCCCGGTAGCCTCATGCTTCTGTAATGTTACCTTTGATTATAAATAAAGCAGATGGGTTCACAAAGCACATCATGTAAGCACTAGCCCTGTCCTGCGAGAGACACAGTCGTCTCGTCTGTATTTTGCATCTCTCTGCTCCAAAGACTGGCCCATCTCTCATCTGAGCTCAGAGAATCTTATCAGAAGATGCAGGCCGGAGCTTATCTGTGCACAGTCTGAATTTGCTTTTGTTTTGTCTTCTGGTCTCCTTCCCCATGCCTTGAATCCCCTGTTGTCACTGTATGACCGGAGAGAGCCACAGAAATCTAAATCCTCTTACACAGACTGCACTCTGATTATAGAAACAGGAAGACAATGAGCACCCCAAAAAAAGCCACAGCACAACAGGAGAGGACAGGAGGAGTAAGGGTGCTCTAGGGATGAGGCCGTAAACCGAAGGCCGGTTCACGTCAGGCAAAGATCTGAAAGAGCACCTTTCACAAAGCCAATGAGAGAGACCTGTGCTGGCAATTTCAAATGGTCACTGAAGCATAACACGTCAGCATTTACAATAGACAGGAAAGGCCAAGCAGAAGCATAAGGTCTGCTGCTTTCAGTTCAAACCTCTTACTAAGTTCCATTTCACTCACAGTTAGCAAATGTAAACCTTGCACTCCAAGGTTAGACTTGCGAACACCTCCCAACAACC